TACAGTATGTCCCGTTTATCTCTGAGAACGCCAAAATATGTATTTCGGAAAACATGGACGACACGAAAAAATGTTTCAAACGAAAGTTGTAAGATACAGAGAAGTACATATAGCGATGACATAGCTTAACTTTGTAATGATTATAAAGCATATGGGCGAAATTGAAAAGCTTGCAGGTAAGAGAAGTGTGCAACTCCATTTTCACCAACTTCGAGTAAAACAGTTTTTTAATTTTAACATTTAATATACGTAAAACATATGTATTCACGTAACACGCTTCGTGGTTAATACGAGATAAAACACATACATCTCTGTATTATAAAAAACATTTTTTCACATTGTTCAATTTCAAAATATTTTGGCGTTCTCAGAACGCGCCCTTTTGAAGGGGAATTAATAAATTTCTTTAATATAACAAATACAACTCAACCTTTCTAATCTGATATAATAATATTAATTGCTTTCTCTCGCGAATGCTTTAAAATACTTGCGATAATATTGAATGCATAATCTTACTTTTAACGAAATCATTGTCATCATAGGTTTCCATTATAGGTTTTGAGCACGACGGTGTCATCCTATAGCACTTTGAAACGTTACCTAGAAAGAGTATAATGTCAAATGCATATCGCAAGTCAAACTCCTGAGAAAAAAGCAATTTCGAAACAACAATCTTCCTTGGTGCAACTGGTAGTTGCTAATTTGGCTTCCAATTTAAATGCTACGTTGTTTCAGAAATTTTTTATAGTCCATTTGTCTACTATTGAAGTAAGTAATACGATGAATTGTTATAATATGAATTGTTTTAGCATGAATCGAATTTTCTATACTAAAAGAATCCATTATGAATAAGTATATAAATATAAAGATTATGCAACAATGATTTAATGTGTAACAATTGCTAGACTGCTATTACTATTAATAAAAATTAATCAGTAGTAAGTAATTTATTAATAAGGTAATTATTATTATTATATCAGACTTTATCAAGAAGAGAATACAGAATCATCACGAAAGTTGAACTTGCTTAATCGTTTGTTACAGATTTTGAGCTCCGCGGTATCGTATTTTACATTGTTGAGAGGTCAGTCAAACGACGCTTAAAACATTGCTGAAATTTCGAAATGAAATTGTCAATTTCAATTAGTTTCAAATCAAGGTTATATATATATATATATATTTGTATGTTATAGAAAAAAAATAAAAAGAGGTTTCTTTATCTAAAAAGTGAAATATACAGACAATAGTACTCTATTACACAGGAATGAGCCATAATTAAATTTTATACCAAATTTTGGGTAATAATGAAATTTTATATATTAAAGCTTTGTTTATTTTTTCATGCAAAATCTTCATCCATTTTTACCTGCGATCGAAGACAGGAAATGACATTCGTCATCTTTAGTTTTAATATAACTTGTTTCTTAACAGTACTTGGATACCTCACCATATTTCTACAAACATACACCGACTAGATTAAAAATTCAGTAGCAAACTCTCACTTAATGTTCTTTTATTACACTAACAGTAAAACAAGTATATTTATTATCTTATTTAATGTTGTTATATCTGTTATATCTTATTTAATGTTGCTTATATATAATTGTTGCATATATATAATTTTTTACAACATTTGATGGTTAGTATTTTGTATGAAAATTTTCACATCCACTTTCTCTCTCACTTTTACATCTTTTTATACCAACGGAATAATCGAATGATCTGACCTCAGCTTCGTCAACGTCTTACAGTACTTCACCTGTCTTTTAAATGTGATTCACAATATGTGACACCCTATGATATAATCATGATTCTATGACTTTTTAATGTATACTATGAGAAGTCGTTTGTTTCGCACCTTTCATGATGATACAGAAGAAGAATCGATATAGTTCGAAAGGTGACAGTGTCTGTTATCATGACGATTCATATATATGTACGCGACAGTTTTACATGCTAAGTTGCAATGCAAACGGTACAGCACTCAGACCTATCGATTAACCTGTCCACGTTCTTTTTGAAGAACATTGGCCTATGGATACCCGAGGATTCGATGGAAGAACGTCGGATGAAAATGATGCTCTTCTTCACAGTATTCAACTCGATGATCGGCGCAGTCGTCATCTTCAGAGACTTGTATTTCACTTTGTTGTACAAAGGCGTGAGTATTGTTCAATTGAATAATGTATATTAAATGAAATATTGTCGCATAAGTGATTGTAATATTCTAATATTTAATATTAATTTATAAATATTTAATAATAGTCTATCGCGTTTCCAAGAACGAAACAAACACCAGTATAGTTAGGTATAGTTGTTCTAAAGAACCTAGGGTAGTATCATTGAATTCGAAAAATAATTTCTATGAGTGCAATAATTTGGATGATTACAACAATTTCCGTAACAATATGACTAAACGATGGATTATGAACGTTTTGTTATTAGATTGCAGGTTTTCCACGCATTCGTGGAGAATATAAAGACACAGAAGTACAAACGAATTCAAATAGTTCAGCACAAAAGTATATAAATTATTAAAAGCGAGATATTTGTTGTCACATTAATGGAAACGAACATTTCACCTTGAATAAAAATTCACTGTCTATTAATTAGTAGTAAATAACAACAATATACGATTTTAAAGATGTACGAACGAAAGAAACAAAACTAGCTTGACAGACCATTGTTATGAAATTATCTACAAGAAAAGTCTATCTAGAAAAAAGATACATACATACATACAATTGACTTTTCCATTCTGTGCATAAATAATTTCCATATTTCCATTCTTCCGTTTATATTCAATAAATTAAATGCTTGAAATAGAGATAACGTGCAATACTCTAGATTGCTCGTGCTGCGTACTAATTTGTATGATTTCAATTATTAATAATTGAAACCATTCATATGAGACGTATGAGACTATATTCAAAGAAAATATATAACAATTCATTGCAGGATGTTCTTTATGTTATTACTAACGTGTTAACCGTGGTAATGGGTTTAATCAAAATGTATACCATACTGATGCATAAAAGCGAATTCATAAATCTGATCATATACATGCAACAAAATTTCTGGATTGTCAATTATGACTTCCGTGAGAAAGAAATTTTGGATAATTGCAGAAAGACTTGCACATTTTTCATTTCTTCTGTCACCACTATTGGAGTATGCGCTATGCTGTCTTATACAATAACACCGATCATTGGTAAGTTTAAAATATGCTATTTGCATATATTAATGTGCTATTTTTAATATTGTTTGTTACTTTTATATATATATATATATATATATCCCCGTACATATTATAAATATTATAGATTACAAAAATTAATAAATATAAATTCTTATTTTATACACATATGTCAAGGATATTTTAAAATTTAAACAATAAAGAGAATTTTGATTCGACATTACTCTAGTAATGTTTAATAATTGCACGTACTAACTAATGTCTCTGTACGCCAGAGAATAAAAAAACTTGATGAACAACACATTTATATATATTAAAGATATATTTAGAAAAAAGACAATTCGAACGTTTGTTGCAGCAAATGTTGGAAAAAATCAATCGGAAAGGGTATTACCGTTCAATTTATGGATAAATTTACCACTGTACATATCTCCTTACTATGAGATACTATTTTTTTTCCAGGTATTTTAAATTCTCATTATGCTTGCATTTACCGTCTCGAACATACTATAAAATGACTGATATTGGGACACTCGCGGAACAAAGTTTAGCAAAATTTTAGAATTGAATGAAATATCCAGCTCAGAGTCCTCCGCTTTCTATAAATAATCTGTAAAATCCTTTATTTGGCTGGCCATATACAGAGATTTAAATGTTTTTAATGAATTTACATATTTTTTCCATCACGATTGTGCTCGAAAATAGAGCAAGGATATTTTTTCTTAGTTTATCAGTTCCCTACACGCTCCCGAAGTCATATTATCATTGAAATTTCGAAACACCCTGCATGAATGGCATATCTTTACAATTGAGAATTGGCTAATTTTAACAGTAGATCTAATTCGTTATAACAAAGGCAATAATAATCTCTACCTTGTGCAGGTAATGAACTTGTATTACGTAGCCATTACATATTTCTGCTTCGACAATATTTTCTGCATCCTAGTTGTACATTTGGCTGGTCAGTTCCGCGTGCTTCGATACAGGTTCACAAAGTTGTGTAACCTGGAACATAAGATACGCGAGGCGACGTTAATCGACGTGTACGAATTTTACGAGAAACTGAAAATGTACATTCGACATCATCAGACGTTGATCAACTATTACAAGAGGCTTGAAACCGTGTACACGATGATTATATTTGGCCAGGTGTTGGTGTTTAGCGTGTTAATTTGCCTATTTGCTTATCAGGGGCTGTTGGTTGGTATTTACACGCTATCATGGAACCCCATTATTATTGAAATTTTGTTAAATACTTCGGAATATCTAGACTGAACAATTTTCACTCAGGCTGCCGCCCCTATAGCGAGACGCGCCATCTTCATATTCCTTTTAATCGGCTCGATGACTCTGTTGTTTATGTTCACGTATAGTTGCGATGGCGTGATAGAGCACAGCGACAAAGTTGCTTTAGGAGCATATTCAGCTTTGTGGACGATCATGCCGATGAACAAATTTGGACGAATGCTCCGAAACGATTTAATACTGGTGATCGAGCGATCAAGACGAGTTTGTTGCCTAACCGCGAACGGATTTTTCCCCATATCGTTGGAAACTTACACTACGGTAGATATAGATAGTTTAGGAGAAAGAATGGGAAAATCTCGATAGACTAAGAAACTGTAATTTTTTCGTTACTGTGAAAAGAAATTTTACAGATTCTGTCTACCGCGATGTCGTATTTCACATTGTTGAGGAATCGTTTGGAAAGCACAGCTGACGACTAATACAATCTCCCATCAGCGAAGTATTCGAAGAAAATTACCTACGGCTGTATCCAAGAGAGTGAGAAAAGATTACACTTATCAATATAAGTGTAATCTAATTTTCATACACTCCGAATGATATAAATAACACCATTGTTCTCAGTATTAATTGTTTGTTAAAATCACCTCTAAATATTCTAAGTAACGTAATTCTTCACGAAACGTAGCAAATACAAAGAAAATTGTTCGTTCACATTTTTATTTCGTATTTGTACTGAAATTTATATATACTGGAGAGACTTCATTGTTCCTGCTGTTGGAAAAGATTTTCATCAGTCTTTTTCGATAAAGTTACAAAAATCTATTTGTTTGAAACAGGCCAAGTTTTAACAAATTCTCTTCTTTTTATGCATGATCAAAGTAATCAAAATAATTTAATAACCATCGCATTTTTCAAATATTTTTCAGAGAATAAAATATTACGTATATCAATGTTCCCTCTGAACAATCACCGTTCCTATAAAATCCTACAGAATTTATCGATCCGACAGCTGCTCCTATTCCCTTTTCACACTGAAGAACAGCAGTTGTGATGGTGTTTAAAAATGCCAGTTGTTCGAAAAAAAAACATAGTACGCAAGAAAGACGCCAGACATTCAACATGCATCAGCCATTCTTAGCATGGAGAATAAAAGAGCTGGAATTTGAGACACCGAAGTCACATTCAGAATAGAGTTAAATGAAAGAATAGAAAATATAAAATATAATGAAGAAGAACGTTTGGTTGGATATCGACACATCGCTATAAAAATTAATATAATTTTAGAAAGGAATATAGTTTCTGTGCAACGCGATGAGAAAGACACAAGGTTTACAATAACTTACTCTAGCTTTTAGAAAGCATGTTTCCGAAAAAGAATTTCATTGATTTCTATAAGATAGTAATAGTTCTAGTATATGTAAAGTATATTTTTTACTTTTTATAGTATATTTTTTATTTATTATTTTTATCAATATCTATTAACTGTATCAAAATTAAATTAAGAAATTGAATTTATTTGAATTATATTTTATATTGCAATATAAAGATTTCATGCAAATATTCATGCAATGTATTAATACATGTACGTTTAAAACGTCGCTTCGTATAGTTGAACTTTGGTTTTATTTAATTAAAAGTGAATAATTTATAGTTATTTTTATTCTGTTTGCAGATGCTGAGCACAAACATTAGAATGATATTTTAACGATAATTTAAAAATATTCCAAAATAATTACATATCGAGGTATTAATTGATTGATACATTAATGCAACATTTAACAAACTGTACAATGTAGTACAAATATATTTAATTAATTAATCTTGGACAAGTTGCGGACCATATTCTAAAACAAAGAAACAGCAATAAGCACAAGAATTTTATAAATAATCCTACTTGACATATTTCTAAAAATAAATAAACTATATTGAACTGTACTTTCTTCTATTTTCTATTTCATTTCATTTCATTTCATATATATTCGCGTATTACACTTGATAGAACAAAGTACACGGCCAAGTAACGAGTATTATTCCACAGCACAATTAAGCAGAATATAAAACAGAAGTACACACATTATCCAACTGCTCCTGCAAGTATACACCACGTTGGTCACAGAAAATAATACGAATGTTTTATTCTCCGAATAACCGTCGGCCATAGTACAATCTTCGGACGATAAAATAATCGATACGATGGCCAAATGCTAATTTTATATTCAGTATCAAGTATGACATCCTCTTTGATGCATCATACAACAATAACACTTTTATACTTGATGATACTTATTTCTCTCTCCGTATTGCTTTGCACTTGTAACTGACGTTAGATAAGACATCTATTGATTAATAAACACTCGACTGTCTTGGCAGATCAAAGTAATGTCACTTTTTGAATCGCATTCGCTGGCAAGTAAGTACAGTTAGTACAGTTGTCGCGTGATTTGAAAGTCAAAATCGAGGAGGAAAGGTCGTCATGCATAAGGCGGAATACTCGGATATTTCCGTTGCAATAACGCAGATTCTATTGAAGTTCACGGGTGTCTCGATAGCCACAAATGATGCCGAAGAACGTTTAAAAAGAATCGCTATGGCGTCCACAATCGGCTTTCATGTTTTCTCCATGTACGTAAATATCAGTGACATTTATCACAGTTGGGACGATTTTAACGTGAGTATGAAACGTTTGGCAATTTTACACGGAGATCGTTAATTAACAAGATTTATTAACATTAATATCATTACAATTAATAATAATTTTATACACAACCGTGCACGTGCACGTTATAAAAATTCTAATGGACATCTAATGTAATTTAAAAATTAAGCTTAAAATATCTCCAATAGTTTTTTCATATCATGGGTCGAAACTTTTTTTATAGAGAGTGCCAAGATTAGAAAACATATATTATTCCCCTTCAAGAAAGCAAAATAATTACAATATTTTGCAATACCATGATATGGTAACTTTTGTTTGAAATACTTTTCCGTATTCAGGGGATAATTTACAAGTTACATATCTCAAGTCATCATATTATGAGATCGATCCTGCGTGTATGAATCTTAAATCTTATTTTTTTCAGCATTGCGTTTTTGCGTTGTCCAGCTTACTAAGCATCAGTCTACCGTTTTTCAAAGTTATGGTGTTATACATTCTCAGAACGGAATATGAAGAAATAATTTCATATGTAAAGCAGAATTTTTGGCATCTCAGATACAAAGATAACGATAGGATGCTTTTCATGGAATGTCAGAAGTTGTGCAAATTTTGGACCATAACCGCATACATTTTTATGCAATCGAGCCTGTGTTTCTATATAGTTACACCGTTATATAGTAAGTGAATTAAGTTAAATCCCGTAAATGGTACTACGACACCTAAAGCGTGAGTGACGTTCGACGTGTAACATTTAATTATTGAAAACCATTTTGTCACTGACTTGCAAAAGTGTTATTATGCATTTATGAAAATATATTGTGAAGAGTGATATATAGAGAGATATCTCGTCAGTGATAATAAATGGATTGATCGAGCAATCAAAGAGAATTAATAAGGCTTTCTTTTATGAAGAACCGTTCGTAAAATAAAAGTAAATAAGTTTAATATCTTGTAAGCTGAGTAAGTTTTTTTCATCTAACTTAGTGATCTAAAGTACTTTGTTCCGTCCCTCGATTAAATATTATCAAAAATTCAACCAAATTATTAATGGCATCTATGATTCACGAAGACTGATGGGAAGAAATGTCGAAACACTTATACACCAATGTGTGTTTTTCAGCTAACTATGGGAAAAACAAATCAGAGAGGATACTTCCGTTTCAAATGTGGCTCGATATACCGTTGAGTATGACACCGTATTATGAAATACTGTTCACCATGCAGGTATACTGAATTTTCATCGATACCTTAATATCGGGCAGTGATCCATATAATAATCAATTAATTACGTACATATATATTAATTAAGGAAAATTCCAATTCACGTAGGTACTAGCTTTAGAACAAGTCGGTATGACTTTTCTAAGCAGTGACAACTTCGTATGCATAGTGAACGTGAACGTGATTTACCAATTCCGCATGCTCCAATACAGGCTTTCGAATCTGTGGAAGACCATCGCCGAACAAAATGAAAAAATAGATTACACCGAGGAATGTTATACGACGTTGAAGAAATGCATCAGGCGGCATCAGGCATTGATCGAATTCTGCGACAAGCTCGAAAACGTTTATACATTACCAATTCTCGGCCATGTCATAGTCTTCAGTCTGTTAATGTGCATCGATGCATACGAGATATTCCTGGTACGTTTAAACAATCGTCTCCTTTTTAAACACAGTAGCATTCCATTCACAGTGAAAACTCTATTTATATGGGATTCCATTTGTTACTTGAGATGAAATTTTCAATTGAATAACTCTTGATGGCTGAATTCAATTATTTGGACTTGAGTTTTCATCACATCAGTGAAAAATCATATATATATATAAATTTTTTTATCTATCAACAAGTTCATATAAATAGAATTCTATTTGTATAAATTTCTACTAATTGAATGATTTCATAATTAAAATTGTTACTTCTTTCGAAATAAGACGGTCAAATTCGCTGACATTGATACTACAATATTAACTCATTTAAATGTAAAATATAACTGTTGCTATATTGCTCTTGATGGCTGAATTCAATTATTTGGACTTGAGTTTTCATCGATACCTTGAGTAAAAAATCATATATATATATAAATTTTTTTATCTATCAACAAGTTCATATAAATAGAATTCTATTTGTATAAATTTCTACTAATTGAATGATTTCATAATTAAAATTGTTACTTCTTTCGAAATAAGACGGTCAAATTCGCTGACATTGATACTACAATATTAACTCATTTAAATGTAAAATATAACTGTTGCTATATTGCTCTTGATGGCTGAATTCAATTATTTGGACTTGAGTTTTCATCATATGAGTGAAAAATCATATATATATAAATTTTTTTATTTATCAACAAGTTCATATAAATAGAATTCTATTGTATAAATTTCTAATTGATTTTATAATTAAAATTGCTACTTCCCTCGGCATAAGACAGTCAAATTCGCTGACATTAATACTATAGTATTAATTCATTTAAATGTAAAATATAACTGTTGCTATATTGCTCTTGATGGCTGAATTCAATTATTTGGACTTGAGTTCTCATCGTATGAATGAAAAATCACTTGTGGTGAAATCAATGTACATATATTACATATATATAAATTTTTTTATCTATCAACAAGTTCACATAAATAGAATTCTATTGTATAAATTTCTGCTAATTGAATGATTTTATAATTAAAATTGTTACCCTCGAAGTAAGACAGTCAAATTCGCTGACATTAATACTACT